TATACTTTTTGATAGCCGGACACCATCAGCTTTCTTCGCCACATTTGTTTATACACCCATTTGTCTTCAGCGATCCTATCATGGCGGTGAGCAAACAATGATATGATTTTTTGTTCTTTGATGTCAGATAACTGATCCCTGGGCACCTCGTGATCACACAGGCTGGTGTGTTCTTCCATGTGGGCTTTGTTGCTTCTGAGCTAGATGGTCGCTTGTTTACCTTCACGCTTTTAAGACCCCAGACGCTATATCTTTTGATAGCTGGGCACCATCAGCTTTCTTCACCACATTTGCTTATTTACCCGCTTTGTCTTCAGTGGCTGTGTTGTGAAAGTGTACATCATAGAATGCCAATTTAATAGAAGAAAGTATTCTTGCATTGAGGGAGTACTTGAGTGGAGGTCCAATGTCCGAGAAGGGAAGTCTTGACCCCGGCACACAGTTTCATCTTTCTCCCTCCAGCACCTGGCAGTTCAACTCCTGACCTTGCTGTTGGCAGCTCACAGTGTAGCCCACAGCCACCAGGGCCCCTGGCTCTGATCACTTCAAATTTCCCAGAGAGGTTGGGGGAAGGACATTCCCTTTAAGATATTCAGAAAAGACAACAGTGGAAAATAAGGAATTTTCCTTAGAGACCATGATTTAAAACAAAAATAGGATTCAGAGATCTGGTAGCCTTAAAAGTTAGAAGAAGAAAAAATACTGCCTTGAAGAATGTGGTAGTAGGTTAGATACAAAACATTGCCTCCTTGTTCTCACCATCGGCAACAAAAAGTGTTCATTAAAGTAGCGATACAGGGTTGTGATGGGGCTCCCAGTGTCCATGTACAATAAATTAGCAGCTCTAGTTTCACCTCCTGGAAACTAAACCAGACAACTGAGTTTAGAGACAAGCTTATCAACAGATTTCTGTTCACTTCAAATTCTGAAGGACTGCCCTTTAGAACGCTGATTTGTACAGACGCCTTGCAAGCACCACAGATGGCCTGGTGTTTGAGTTACTTGTGTGTGGTTAAGCGGGTGCTAACGCATGATGCATAGCAACACCTGGGGACAAAGAAGACCTGCCCTCTGGTTTTTCTAGGCTGTAATCTTTACAGAAGCTGAATGGCAGGTTTTCCCACACATCTGCTAAGTGGATTCGGATCACCCATGTTTGGGTTCACAGCTGAATACTTAAACATTGCAACACATAATGCCTTCAAAAACAAACAAACAAACAAACAAACAAAACCCCTCTCTGCTGTAGAGTCCATACTTACTCTTAGTGACCCAATAGGACAGAAGAGAATGGCCCCTGTGGGGCAGAAAGCCTCCACCAGTGCTCCATGGGTGAAAGATTAGCAGCCCAGTGATTAGTACCACCATGGCTCCTTTCCTTGCTTTCCCACATGAAGAAGTGACTTTCCTGTGACCATGTAGGGGTTTGAGGCACAAACATATGCCTTCAGTAAGAATATCAAACAATCACCCCCCAGTGGTGAAAATGGTCTCTGTGTGACCTGTCACCCACCATTGCAGAGAATGCATTCAGTTCCTGCATCTGCGGAACCAGTTCCATGGCCAATAAAACCACTTCCCAGAGCCCCTGAGGGCTGTGGTCCAGGATGAGTACATGCCTGAGTGTGCTCATGGATCTGCATGTGTGTACTTGACGGAGGTAGACAGCACTCTGAGTAGTCTGTCCTGGGGCATGCGGTCTGCTTCTGCGTCCTCAAATCTGTGCAGGCTAAAGGCCCTGCCAATGATCTGTGCTTAAGATTTCCGCAGAAGGGGTACAAGACCACAAGTTTCCATGTGTTGTGGGGGTAGGTTCCAGAAAGAGATGGCTGTCTGGTAGGACTGGCAGACATCTCCCCCTGCTGAGAGAGGAGTCTCAAATGGTGTACGGAATAGGGATTGTGCATGCTTCATCTTGAGGGACTAGGGTCTGGGGCAAACCAGAGGAGAGGAGTGTAGAACAAACAGACTGCTCATATCACTTGACAGCTCCTGGAGAGAATTTTATTCTAGCAAGAAGGGCTTTCTTTATAGAGCTAAACAGGCGGTGCTGCCAACCCTCATCAAGTTGGGCATCTAAAATGGCAAGAGACGGTGATGGTGATATAGGAATGCCTGTGGCTGGTGTCAGTGAGGAGAGAGGGGGTAGAGTGCGTGGAGAGACTGTTTTAGGGTTTGCAGAGGGCAGCGACAAAGGCCCTCAAAAACTCGATGCTTTCCAGTAGTACAGAGTGGCAGAGGTAGCACTAGGATGGTCATGACCATTCACAATGGGGAACTGGTCTTAAGCATGAAAGGATTCCTCGCTACCCAATTTAAGCACTGTATAAGAAGATCTGGGCTGATAACTGAAAGGTCCAACGGTTGAGACCACCAGTGCTCCATGGGTGAAAGTGCTCCACAGGGTCATCAGTTCAAACCCACTAGTCACTAGTGGGTCATCAGTTCAAACCCACTAGTCATCAGTTCAAACCCACTAGTCACCAGTGCTCCACAGGGTCATCAGTTCAAACCCACTAGCTGCCTCATGGGAGAAAGCTGCAGCTCTACTCTTAGTAAGACTTTACAGTCTGTAAAATCCTGGGAGCAGTTTTCACCCCGTCCGTGAGGGTCACCACGTGTCGGAATGAGCTCTGTGACAGCGAGCTTGGTTTTGGTCCCATGAGGAGTGTTTTCAGAACCCACAGCTGTGATATCACTTTCTTGGTGAAATACTACATAGTACTGTTCAATGAAATTAAAGCAACGTTGTGTTGTTGACAAATGGCATCAGCAGTCCAGTGGACTTCTCTTTACCCCCCACCCTCGCCAACCAGTGAGATCTGACAGTGTTTCAACTGTAACTTGCACAAGCCAATCAGAAATGTTTTTTCACTTCCAAATTTTGTCCCTACCAACCGACCACTGCTAATACTCAGTGGAGTACCTTTCCACACATCGTTTGGTGCTAATCCTTGAAACTTCTGCGCAAATAAACCTAATCTAGTAGATAAATGTTATTATTGACTGTTTCTTTTCACAGTGTTATGGAACTAAGTATGTAATTTGTTTCATTCTCAGATCCCAAGAGACGAACCGAAAACATTTAAACCTTGGTCCATTCCTATAGCATAATATTGTTGTCATTTCCTAAAAGGTAAGATCAATAAACTAATAGATGATTGTTCAAGAAAATTAGCTACTCCACTGGTTTCAACCTAGGATTCCACATGTTTAAATCGAATTGCATTTTTAAACCGATATATCTTAGTCAACAATTTTAAACACTAAACATGCACAGTTTTGGATAGTGACCAAAAAAGGTCAAGGTGTTTTAACTAGCACTGCAGTATTTTCTTCCTATTCGAAAGTAAAATGAAAACAATATTACGGATTAGGTGAAGCAAGATATTTTATAGATCTTATTCCCTGATTCACTTGAGAATCACTTATAACTTGAATAAAAACACCAAGTTGAAATCTATTAATTACTCCATTTAGAATTGATAATTGGCATTTGGAAGACTTATTCGGTAGTTATCACTGTATACAAGTTTGTATTTACCACAACATGCAGGACATTGGCACTGTGCAGAGTGGGCACAAAAACTCCTTGAGAAACAACTAACAATAAAAAGAAGCACATGTTCATTGATTGAGCAACACATAAGCCCTGGTGGGCACAGTGGTGCTTAACTGTGAACCAGAAGGTCAGCAGTTCAAACCCGCTAGCAAGAGAAAGGTGTGGCCATCTGCTTCCATGGAGACTGCAGTCTTGGGACCCCCGAGAGCAGTTCTACTCTGCCCCACAGGAATGCTGTGAGTCAGAATGGACTCAGCCCAGTGAATTTGGCTTGGGTCAGGGAGCAGCAGCCAAACCTCTTTGCAAGCAGTCTAGAAGAGAGAGAACTGCACCCTAAATACAAAGAATAAATAATGGTATTTCCCCTTCCAATTCAATTCCCAAATAAATGTAAGCAATCGTTAAGTGTTAGCATATATTACATAAGTGTTTTAGCTTATTATTAATTGGGAGTTAGTACATACATCATTCCATAATTCAATTATGTCAAACAGAATAGTGCAATTGCTACCACAGTCAGCTTCCAAACATTCTTTTTCTCCCTGGCCTCCTTAACAGTTGCCTCGTTTTACACACACACCCCGCACACCACCACTGTACCTCTCCACCCCAAAACCCTTATTCGACTAGCTGTCCCTATAGGTTCATCAATCCTGGGATATTACATACACTTTACTCCATTGTACTCTGCCACATATGGGCAACTTGTATGGAGTGCAAACTAAATAAGTAACTAATGAGAATCTGTTTCTCCTTTCACAATAAAAGAAATCAGAAGAGGCAGCATTTAAAAAGATCTCCAAAAACCCAAAAAACTCACTGCCATCGAGTCAACTCTGACACATGTAACTGTATAGGACAGGGTAGAGCTGCCCTTGTGGGTTTCCAGTACTGTAACTGTATTATTACTATTTATCATTCTATTAGGAGCTCTTACAGATATTGTAACAATCCATATTTCAATTAGTCAAGGATCATTGCACAAATGCTGCCACCATCAGTTTCAATACATTTTCTTCTTGAACCCTTTGATATCAGTTCACCTTTATCCCTTCCCTCCTCTCCCCTCCCCCTCGGGAACCCCTATTGTTATATTATTATCATTATTATTTTATTTGTCATATCTTACACCACCCCATGGATCCGTTCACCTACAATTCTGTTATTCGTTCCCTCAAGTGGGGTTATTCAGTCATCATCGCTACCAGCCCCCCTTCCTCCCCACACCCCCTCTACCTGTACCCCCAGGGAATTATTATTCCTGCTACTGTTTCTGACGGGTTATCTATCTTGGCTTTCATGTATCAAGCACTCTTAATTATTCAGACGAACATATGCAGTTCTAACAAGATTAATGAGGTAAAACAAAGACCATAATAGTAAAGGGAGGAGATATTAAAGAACTAGAGAATAGTTATGTGTTTCATCAGTGCTATACTGCTCCCTAGATTTATCATCCCTTCTGTGTGGCCCTGTTGTGAGGAACTGCCCAATTATCCTAGACTGTAACTCTTTATAGGAATAGAAAGTCTCGTCTTTCTCCCTCAAAGCAACTAATGGTTTTGAACTGCTGGCCTTACAGTTAGCAGCCCAACACATAACCCACTATGCTCTGAAGGCTCCAATGATATCCCTTTAAAAGCATACACTTAAATGTTTACAAAATACTGATGGGGCTAGATCAGAGCATGTACATGGGTACAGATAAGAGCTGGAAACACAGGGAATCCAGGACAGATAAACCCCTCAGGACCAATATTGAGAGTAGCAATACCAGGAGGGGAAGGGGAAGGTGGGGGAGAAAGGGGGAACCGATCACAATGATCTACATATAACCCCCTCCCTGGGGGATAGATCACAGAAAAGTAGATGAAGGGAAACATTGGTCAGTGTCAGACATGAAAAAAAAAATTTACAAATGATCAAGGGTTCATGAGGGAGGGAGGGTGGGGGGAGGAAATGAGGAGCTGATACCAAGGGCTCAAGTAGAAAGAAAATAATTTGAAAATGACAATGGCAACACATGTACAAATGTGCTTGACACAATGTACGCATGTATGTATTTTGAAAAGAGTTATATGAGCCCCCAGTAAAATGATTTTTAAAATAAATTAAAATTAAAATTAATAAATAAAAATATAAAATGTTTAAAAATAAAAATAATGATGGCAACATATATACAAATATGCTTGATACGATTGCTGTATCAATTGTTAGAAAAGCAGTAAGAGTCCCTAATAAAATGACCCTAATTAAAAAATAAATAAAAACATACACTTAGAATAGGGCAAAATTACCTTAACCCTTATCCTTTCAACTCCTCCCTTTCTTCCCTAAGTATTAACATTAAATAAAACCACTCTAATTTCTATATAAAACAATGTACATAAAATGCATAGCATAGTTTAAAACTCCATAAAGAATAAACACACATTTTCAAATCTGCCAAATATCAAATTTGAATATACACCATCAATGAATTAAGTTGTCAAGTTTTAATATAAACTTGAAAATGAAGACCACCTTCCAATTGCATGACAAGTTTGAAAAGCAGTTTAGAATTAGTTAGAATTTTCTTTATGCTGTGCAAAGCAATTAAGAGTAATTAAAATGTCTCCAGCTGTTTTGCAGGAGAAAGAAGACTCTCTGCTCCTGTGAAGGTGTTTAGTCTTAGAAAATGGAGATGTAAGGTTCTGCGGAGTCAGAATCAACTCAATGGCAGTGGTTTTTAGGGAGAATAAATAACTGCCCCAATGTACTTATCTATCTGGAAGGCAGGCCATTCAAGTTTTCAGCCATGTATTATTCTTCCACAGACACGCACAAAAAGTTGAGTGCGCTTTGTTTTAGAATTGTTCTCTTGTTCTGTCTTCTAGGTGTCAGAGTTTTCTGCAAGTTACAAGTTAATGGCATGTCAATCTCAACTGGACTCCAAATTGATATTCATATACGGTTATGTGGGGGGCGGGGGCAGGGGATAGTATTTGAGCCTGATAAAGTTACTTGATTCTTCGAATCTGGTTAAGCTACACGATTTGAATATGATACATAGATGAATCATTATTTACAAATTCTGGACTTAGTCTTTCCAGCCTAGGTGCCACCCGGCAAGCACTGTAGTTTCCCTACAACCTGCATGAAAGTTGCTGACTCATTGTTGCTGCAATGACGTTGCTGGGAAAGCAAAGGCTTTCTTTCTGTGTGTCCATGCAATCTAACTGAACTGGTAATTCAGGTCACAGCATAGAATGGAAGACACTGCTCAGGAGTTAAGTACAGGATTCCTGAACTTGCACAGGAGTTAAGTGCATGACTACAGCGCTGTATTTGACTCAAGGAGCCCTGGTGGTGCTGAGCGTTAGGCACTGCACTGTCTGCTCCTGTAAAGATGAACAGTCTCCGAGACCAACTATAGGGGTCACGAGGAGTCTCCGTCGACTCTATGGCAGAGTCTGGTAGCCACAGAGCAGCGACACCACAAGAGCTCTTGACGTTTTTTGTTTTATGCTATTTACTGTGCATTGACCATGGGTCTGTGTATGCGTGTTGGAGAGCGAAGGAGTGGTATGTCCCCATAAAAATCTACTCTTTGGCTGGTTGACATGGTTTTAGAATTTGGGAAAGACAATGTAAAACCATTTTTAGTGTCTTATCACAAAGCCCTTTGTCTTTTTTTAAAATTTCATTATGAAAAAATATCCAATTCATATCAGAGTTTCAGAAGTAACACAGGGCTCTTTTCCATACAGTGGTAGAGATAACCTGATGCAAAGGGGTTCTAAATTACTGTATAACCACCCCGTGTGGTGGTTTAAAAGGCAGAGGACACATCAAACTCCACTGATGAGAGTTGAGGGCCTTCCAGAGAACAGTAAACCAGCATTAGGAATGAGGACTTATTTGACCAGTCAGGGAGTAAACTGATCCTGCGGCCAGAAAGCACAGGATTGGACCCATGAAGCCATCCTTGGTACGGACTGCTGGGAGTGAAGAAGACACCGAGACTGAGGTGAGAGACTTTGGTGACAAGTGAGAGCAGGCGTACGGTTAGGCATGCAGGACAGCTGAGAAGAGATGGGGGCCCCTGAGGGTCACAGAAATGTTTACTTGAAGGCACTGGGGCACAGCTGTCCACAGGCCCCCTCCACGCCTTTTGGAGTTCCACGAGGCCACCGGAACACAAAGCAGCAGAGCAGGAACTCCAGAGAGAAAGGAAACAGGAGCAGAAGGGTCATGGGAAGGACAAAATTATGCAAGAGACATGACTGGATGAGCCAGAGAACTTAGTGGGTGTGGCCCAGGTGAAATGAGGTCATCAAACTTTTTTTAAAAGCTCTTTAGAAAATGAAAGCCTTTACGATAGCATATCAGCAGCAAACTACCAGAAGAGGGTGTGGAATGATATCATTGCTGTTGTCAGATGGATCTTGGTGAAAAGCAGGGAATCCTAGCAAGATGTTTACCCGTGTTTGAACAACTACACAGGCCATGAGTCTGTGTGGCTCATAACATGGTGAATGGGAATTCCAGAACACTTCGTCACGTTCAGGCA